ACACACACACACAAGACATATGGGCCAAGACTACACACACATACAAGACATATGGGCCAAGACTACACACACACAAGACATATGGGCCAAGACTACACACACACACACACACAAGACATATGGGCCAAGACTACACACACACACACACACAAGACATATGGGCCAAGACTACACACACACACACACAAGACATATGGGCCAAGACTACACACACATACACACAAGACATATGGGCCAAGACTACACACACACACAAGACATATGGGCCAAGACTACACACACACAAGACATATGGGCCAAGACTACACACACATACACACAAGACATATGGGCCAAGACTACACACACACAAGACATATGGGCCAAGACTACACACACACAAGACATATGGGCCAAGACTACACACACACACACAAAGACATATGGGCCAAGACTACACACACACACACACACACAAGACATATGGGCCAAGACTACACACACACAAGACATATGGGCCAAGACTACACACACACACACACAAGACATATGGGCCAAGACTACACACACACACACACAAGACATATGGGCCAAGACTACACACACACACACACAAGACATATGGGCCAAGACTAAACACACACACAAGACATATGGGCCAAGACTACACACACACACACACAAGACATATGGGCCAAGACTACACACACACACACACAAGACATATGGGCCAAGACTACACACACACACACACAAGACATATGGGCCAAGACTACACACACACACACACAAGACATATGGGCCAAGACTACACACACACACACACAAGACATATGGGCCAAGACTACACACACACACACACAAGACATATGGGCCAAGACTACACACACACACACACACAAGACATATGGGCCAAGACTACACACACACACAAGACATATGGGCCAAGACTACACACACACAAGACATATGGGCCAAGACTACACACACACACACACACAAGACATATGGGCCAAGACTACACACACACACACACAAGACATATGGGCCAAGACTACACACACACACACACAAGACATATGGGCCAAGACTACACACACACACACACAAGACATATGGGCCAAGACTACACACACACACACACAAGACATATGGGCCAAGACTACACACACACACACACAAGACATATGGGCCAAGACTACACACACACACACACACAAGACATATGGGCCAAGACTACACACACACACAAGACATATGGGCCAAGACTACACACACACACAAGACATATGGGCCAAGACTACACACACACACACACACAAGACATATGGGCCAAGACTACACACACACACAAGACATATGGGCCAAGACTACACACACACACACACAAGACATATGGGCCAAGACTACACACACACAAGACATATGGGCCAAGACTACACACACACACACACAAGACATATGGGCCAAGACTACACACACACACACACAAGACATATGGGCCAAGACTACACACACACACACACAAGACATATGGGCCAAGACTACACACACACAAGACATATGGGCCAAGACTACACACACACACACACACAAGACATATGGGCCAAGACTACACACACACACACACAAGACATATGGGCCAAGACTACACACACACACAAGACATATGGGCCAAGACTACACACACACACACACACAAGACATATGGGCCAAGACTACACACACACACAAGACATATGGGCCAAGACTACACACACACAAGACATATGGGCCAAGACTACACACACACACACACAAGACATATGGGCCAAGACTACACACACACACACACACACAAGACATATGGGCCAAGACTACACACACACACACACACACAAGACATATGGGCCAAGACTACACACACACACAAGACATATGGGCCAAGACTACACACACACACACACACACAAGACATATGGGCCAAGACTACACACACACACAAGACATATGGGCCAAGACTACACACACACACACACGCACACACACAAGACATATGGGCTAAGACTACACATACACACACAAGACATATGGGCCAAGACTACACATACACACACAAGACATATGGGCCAAGACTACACACACACACGACATATCACTCAGATGGGCCAAACATTTACACACACAGACACATACACACACATAAGGGGATGGGTACAGTTGGCGTGGGGGGTACAGTTAGGGTGGGTTAAGGAAAGCGAGTGGGGTACAGTTAGGGTGGGTTAAGGAAAGCGAGTGGGGTACAGTTAGAGTGGGTTAAGGGAAGCGAGTACATGAAAATGGAAATGAAGTTATGGAGAAGATATCTTTCTGTTCTGACATCGGAAAATTTCGCTAAAAAAATATTAAACATACACCCATACATTTTATAGCATAGGGATTGCCAAACAGATATAAAGCAACATAGAAATCGTGGCGTATGTATAATGCAAAATTAATGATAATTTGACCCAAAAAATGATAAATATTTAGGTTTTAAATTTATATTTTTCTATAATGCAACCCGATTTTTCTGAAAATTGGCAAAAAACTAACAATGTCATCTAGGCCTTTGACGGAACTAAAAGATTTGCGTTATGATAAAATTTGAAAATTTTAGAATTTTAGAGTGTGTTTTCTAATAGTTTCCATCATCTTTATGTGACTTTAGGGGGGGGGGGGGGGTGATCAGATTGTTTTCAAACTGTTTCCATCAAAATTTTTAAACTGCTGGGCTACAAAATTGCGGACATTTTGGTTGAACTAGCAAAGGGCAGATAACGCTGTTTTCTCGCTGTGGGGCCCTTATCTCCCCTTTGCTACATGCCCCATGCGTGCCAGCGATAGCATGCGATTAAACAGCACGCAATGTTATCACGTGACCTCTCTGTAACACTTGGTGTAGGGGGGGGGTGTTGTTCTTTATATATTTTCTGAGCAGCTAAATTGTTTTTATTGTTGTTTTTCAAACCTGGGTCATAATTTATGTAAAAAAAGTTTAGTAACATTAAACCTGGGTCATAACTTATGTAAAAACAGTTTACTAACTTTAAACCGAAATAACACGGCTAGTCTGAGTTCAAATCTTTGAAAAACAATTTCATATCCTGGCCCCAAATATTTGGTTCCAACCTGGCAACCTCAAGTGTTGGCCAGATTTATGTTGGCCAGATTTATGTACCGAGGTAGACTAAGTCATGTTTGTTTAGGCTCGTTGTTGGATTAGGGGAAAGTGGAATCTTGAGAGCTTTTAATGTACTTGTTATAAGTTAGTGTAGTGTGTGGTAGTTATAGACTAGTGTGTGGTAGTTATAGACTAGTTTAGTGTGTGGGTAGTTATAGACTAGTGTAGTGTGTGGGGTAGTTATAGACTAGTGTAGTGTGGGGGTAGTTATAGACTAGTGTAGTGTGTGGGGTAGTTATAGACTAGTGTGGTGTGGGGGTAGTTATAGACTAGTGTAGTGTGGGGGTAGTTATAGACTAGTGTAGTGTGTGGGGTAGTTATAGACTAGTGTGGTGTGGGGACTAGTGTGGTGTGGGGGTAGTTATAGACTAGTGTGGTGTGGGGGTAGTTATAGACTAATGTGGTGTGGGGGTAGTTATAGACTAGTGTTGTGTGTGGGGTAGTTATAGACTAGTGTGATGTGTGGGGTAGTTATAGACTAGTGTAGTGTGTGGGGTAGTTATAGACTAGTGTGATGTGTGGGGTAGTTATAGACTAGTGTAGTGTGTGGGGTAGTTATAGACTAGTGTGATGTGTGGGGTAGTTATAGACTAGTGTAGTGTGTGGTAGTTATAGACTAGTTTAGTGTGTGGGGTAGTTATAGACTAGTGTGGTGTGGGGGTAGTTATAGACTAGTGTGGTGTGGGGGTAGTTATAGACTAGTGTAGTGTGTGGGGTAGTTATAGACTAGTGTGATGTGTGGGGTAGTTATAGATTAGTGTAGTGTGTGGGGTAGTTATAGACTAGTGTGGTGTGGGGGTAGTTATAGACTAGTGTGGTGTGGGGGTAGTTATAGACTAATGTAGTGTGTGGGGTAGTTATAGACTAGTGTGATGTGTGGCGTAGTTATAGACTAGCGTGGTGTGGGGTAGTTATAGACTAGTGTGGTGTGGGGGTAGTTATAGACTAGTGTGTGGGGTAGTTATAGACTAGTGATTGGGGTAGTTATAGACTAGTGTGATGTGTGGGGTAGTTATAGACTAGCCCATTTAAAAGTAAGATATACTTTACAATTTCCTACTTGGAGATTTGTATAGAATAGCAATCATAATCTTAGATATCAGTACAGAAGCCTAGGGAGGGGGGGGGGAGGCTAGTTCACCTGTATGTCGCTGGGTACAGTTTGTCAATCTGTTGACCTAACAACGTGCTATAAATGTGACTGACGGGTGTAACACTTGGCGTTATCAAACACACAAACATACAAACATACATACATACATACACTCATAAAACACATTCACACGAACATACACTCTCACACTCACACAGTCACAAAAGTGCACACACTTCCAAACACACCCACACACACACAAAGACATAGAAAACGAAATGACTGCGTGCGAATTGTGTGATGACCTCAATCTTTGGTGTCATTAATGTCAAAATGTCATTTATATCTTAATGACATTTACAAAATGAAATTTGTAACATAGGCATGTCATTTATTGGTGTTAGTATTATGGATAAGTGTGCCGTTGGGGGGGGTGGGGGCTGCTGGTGTGGGGGTGGGGGAGGCATGGGGGGGGAGTGTCAACAAACAAGCGCCGAGGAATGCCACACCACTGCCCAGCTCAAGAGATGTGTGAGTGTGTATCAGTCCGTGTGTGTGGTGTGGTGTGTGTCAGTCCGTGTTTGTGTATGTGGTGTGTTTGTGTGTGTATGTGTATGTCAGTCCGTGTGTGTGTGTGTGTCAGTCCGTGTGTGTGTGTGTCAGTCCGTGTGTGTGTGTATGTGTATGTCAGTCCGTGTGTGACTGCAGACATTTTGTCGTCTGCAGTAACTGGTGACGTCACGATGGTGAGCACAGCTCAGCGCGCCCCGCCCCCCGCACCAAAAGGTGACCGGATGTTTGTGGCCCTGCGGCTCGGCCCCGTGACCCGGGCCCCCATGTACCAGGACCCCCTAGCCAGCAGCATCCTGCCCGCCGTCCAGGGTTCGAGTCCAGCCCAGCCGGTCAAATATCCCAGGATTATCGTCCGGGATTTTCTTGGTCGGACACTGGACACTTACACCACGCTACAGGAGGCTATTTATAGAGCAAGCTGGACCAGGAGGAAGATGGGAGGTAGGTCATGGGATATGGGAGGTAGGACATGGGATATGGGAGGTAGGACATGGGATATGGGAGGTAGGTCATGTGATATAGGAGGTAGGTCATGTGATATGGGAGGTAGGACATGGGATATGGGAGGTAGGTCATGGGATATGGTCGGTAGGACATGGGGTATGGGAGGTAGGTCATGGAGTATGGGAGGTAGGTCATGGAGTATGGGAGGTAGGTCATGGAGTATGGGAGGTAGGTCATGGAGTATGGGAGGTAGGTCATGGGGTATGGGAGGTAGGACATGGGGTATGGGAGGTAGGACATGGGATATGGGAGGTAGGTCATGGGATATGGTCGGTAGGTCATGGGATATGGTCGGTAGGACATGGGATATGGGAGGTAGGACATGGGATATGGGAGGTAGGACATGGGATATGGTAGGTAGGACATGGGATATGGTAGGTAGGTCATGGGATATGGTCGGTAGGACATGTGATATGGGAGGTAGGTCATGGAGTATGGGAGGTAGGTCATGGAGTATGGGAGGTAGGTCATGGAGTATGGGAGGTAGGTCATGGGGTATGGGAGGTAGGACATGGGGTATGGGAGGTAGGACATGGGGTATGATTTTAAAAAACTGATTGGATAACTTCCCCCCCCCCCCCACACACACACAGACTGGCCCCGGACCCCCCTGGAGTGGCGTCTGCCCAAAGCCCCAGCCCCAGCCAAGCCGGACTACTCAAGGTCAGGACCTTTGACCTACAGCAGTCGCCATGACAACCGCTATGACGTCACGGCCCAGAGTCAGGACAGCAGGAGGATGGAGCTCACAGCCAACGTCTTGGTCAACCTCCCGACTGTGGTAGGTCATTTAGTAGGTCATTTAGTAGGTCAACCTCCCGACTGTGGTGAGTGGTAGGTCATCTATAGGTCAACGCAGATAACACATATCCCGACAACACATAAACAAAATATATACCACACACACACACGCATACAAACACACGCATACAAACACACGCACACATACAAACACACACATACAAACACAAACACATACAAACACACACACACACACATACAAACACACACAAACGCACACACACAGAAACACACAAACACACACACAAACACACACACACAAACACACACACACACAAACACACACAAACGCACACACACAGAAACACCCAAACACACACAAACACACACACACACACACAAACACACACACACACAAACACACACACATACACACACAAAACGACACAAGTTACTTTCACTGTGTGACAGAAGGCTGGCAACCAACTAATTAATTAATTAATTAATTAATCATAGAATATTTTTGGTATGTAAATTAAGAGCCGGATGAACGAATCAATAAAGTGCACGATATTCTAGTTCATTCTATCCCAGCCCCACCCCACCCCGTCAGTGTATTGCTGACATTCCTGGCTGAAATAAAACTTATCTATACAATGTCAACACCAACGAAAAAATCAATAAGTTCACCAGAGATCGATCGAACTTAAAGAACAAACATTTTTTTATACCCAACATTTAGTGTCCCAAACTTTCCAACTAGTCCGACCAGAACCGTTCAAGGAAATTGTCGCCCTTTGATGGCGTCTTACCTGCCCCTGTCGCGGTGATCGGTCTAGTTGCGCCACTTTGTCTGGGGTAAAGTGGGCGGTGCCGGGTCGCAGCCAATTCTAAAGCCGCGGGTAGTGAAAGTCCCTCAATAGACCCCCGGGCTGTTGTGTAGGGGTCGGGTAATGAAGTCTGCCCGACAGATACGGCGTGGGATTAGCCATACACCGGCAGGGGTGATAATGCCGGGTCGTGTAGGTACACGGGGACAAGGGGCGGTAATTGAGGGTAATGGGAGACGATCTCAATCAGCCTGTGATCGGCGTGTGATCTGGTGTCGACTTAATCAATGATCACAGGGGGGGGGGGGGGGGGGGCACAGGGCTGTTCAATGTGATGACAGGGGCGTTAACAGGCGGGGTAGGGGACAGGCTGATACAGGTACAACAGAGTTTCTTTCAGGCATCCCCCCCCCATCCCCGAAAAAAAATATAATTGATATAGAAAATATATACTTTTAAGTCTCGCCCCAATCATCGAATGCCCCCCACACCCCCCCCCCCCCCCACCTCTCTCTCTCTCTCTCTCTCTCTTTGGAGAAAAATACTTGAAAGAAACACTGCAGATTAAATGGGGTAGGTTGGGGCGGGTGAAACAGTTGTTTTCTACAAAAACTGTCAAGATTCGTCATCTGGTCAAGATTCTGTCAACTTGTCAAGAAAAGTTCTGACACATGACACTGACAATACCGGGCAGAGGGTTTGGGTGGGGGGAGGGGGGTTAAGGTTAAAAGATGACTGAAAGGGTGGGGCTGGATCATACTGAAATCGAGGCTTAAATAAAATTGGAAGAATTAATCCAAGAATGTCACAAATTGCTAACTGACATCACTTTATTTTCAGGAAATAGCTGTGGATGACGTGTCTTTTGTAGCTGAAAGGTTTGTGACGTTTTACTTCCGTCAGTTGACGTCATCACTTACAACGTTGGTGACGTAAACAATGTTTAGTTGATGTTGATGATAGTGGTGGTGTTTTTGTTGGTGCTGTTGGTGCTGGTGGTGGTTACGGAAATTTTGGTGCTGTAGGTTGTGGTGTTAAGTTGGCAGTTGTCAAGGGTGGTGTTGGTGGTTGTGTGATTGTTGTGGTGTTGTTGCTGGTGTTGTTGTTGTTGCTGCCCATGATGCTGGTGTTGTTGCTGCTGTTGTTGTTGTTATTGTTGTTACTGTTGTTGTTGTTGCTGTTGTTGTTGTTGCTGCTGATGCTAATGATGTTGATGTTGTTGCTGTTGTTGCTGATCTCCCTCCTCAGCTTGAACCAGCTGCCCAACCTCCCGTCCTTCACCTTCCTCCGCCACTCCCTCCTGGCTGGTCAAGCGACCTACGTCCAGATTGTCGCCTCCATCCTCCTGCACCAGAAACAGCTCCGGGAGCTGGACCGGCGGGAAGCTGTCTGGTCGTTCCCCGGCTTCTGCACCGGCTGCCAGAGAGCTGGGCTGTGTTACGGCTGCAGCAAGAGCGCAAAACCTCAGTAAGTTTGGACAAGTTACCGCCCTTAGACTACTGCAGGTTACCTCTCTTATATTACTTCAGCTGGTGCCCCACCTCAAACACCAAATGACCTTCACCTTTACACTACGTATCAGCAGTATAATCACACCAGAACTTTTTTAAATTAAAGTACAAGCTTGTACAATTTTTTTTAATTAAAACATTATTTAGAAATAATTAAAGCAACACAGTGTCCATAAACTCGTAGGGTGTGGGTATGTATGGGGGGGGGGGGGGGGGTCAGAATTTTGTGATGAGGAGAGGAGGGGTGTGACTTCACACCATACTTTTGAATTTTAAAAATCTTAGCAGCTGTTGTATGTTTTTTTAGTATTTTTTGTGTAAATTATTTTAGCATTGATCAATGTATCACGTCAAGTAATTTTGCCCCACATCAGCAAGCATTTTCAGTATAAAATGGCGTATTTTGTTCACAAAGGGAAATAATTCAAATAATGTTTTTGGTAAAATAATCTAATCCTAGTCATACACCCTTGCAAAAAATGTTTTTTTTAAAAAAGGGGGAGGGGAGAAGAGAGGTTATGTATGACGTTGCTCACGACCCCTAAACCGTGACGTTGTTGATCGAGAGAGCTGAACCAATCAGATTCCAGACATTTTTCTCTCCAGCGTTCACGAGGATATTCCCGCCATGACAGGGGGCGGTTTCCGGTTCTGGAAGCGTGACAGACCACGTGACCCGCATCTGTGGAAACATCCGGGCAACTGGAAGGTACCGTCGTCAGAGGAGGAGCTTAAGTCTATCATAGAGAGTAAGGGAGCTCAATTTCTGGGAGCTAAGGTCTATCATATAGTAAGAGAGCTTAATTTCTGGGAGCTAAGGTCTATCATAGAGAGTAAGGGAGCTTAATTTCTGGGAGCTAAGGTCTATCATAGAAAAAGAGCTTAATTTCTGGGAGGTAAGGTCTCATGAGCTTAATTTCTGGGAGCTAAGGTCTATCATATAGTAAGAGAGCTTAATTTCTGGGAGCTAAGGTCTATCATAGAGAGTAAGAGAGCTTAATTTCTGGGAGCTAAGGTCTATCATAGAGAGTAAAAAAACACCCACACTAACATAGAAATGTCCTAGTCCACACACACAACCACACACACCACCACACACACAACCACACACACCACCACACACACCACCACACACACCACCACACACACCACCACACACACAACCACACACAGAACCACACACAGAACCACACACAGAACCACACACACAACCACACACACCACCACACACACCACCACACTCACAACCACACACAACCACACGTGACCTTGATGTACCTCGTGACGTCACTAGGGTACGGTGACCTGGCCAGCTACCAACGTGCCATGATGAGGGCGGGGCAGAGGATGGCGGACACCGGTGACGTCACCAGCGCTGACCAGTCACGTGACGGCCTGAGGTACCAGCGACTAAAGAGTCTGGGAACATGTAAGTTGCTGACCCCCACTTCCCCCCCACCCCCTCCCCCCCCTCCCCCCTTTCCCTCCATTCAGCTTTTATCTTGACCGACACCTGTCTGACGAGAACTTGTGGACACTTATATCAGACCTCGCTGACCTACATGACCTTACTTTAGCTGACCTACAGGACCTGACCTGCTGACCTACAGGACCTTACTTTAGCTGACCTACATGACCTGACCTGCTGACCTACAGGACCTAACTTCTGCTGACCTACAGGACCTTACTTTAGCTGACCTACAGGACCTTACTTTAGCTGACATACAGGACCTTACTTTAGCTGACCTACAGGACCTTACTTTAGCTGACATACAGGACCTTACTTTAGCTGACCTACATGACCTGACCTGCTGACCTACAGGACCTCACTTCTGCTGACCACATATTCCAACCAATGCCCAACACACAGTGGACAACAGAATTGTTGAAAAACATTTTAAAACTGACCTAACCTGGATGTCATCTAATTTAGACTTAGGTCTAGTTTAAGTGTAAAAAAGTCTAGTTTTGAATCCTCAGATCCACCTCGTGTCGCTATCGTCACCACCGATGATTTTGTTGATGAAATGCTCAACGATATGTACGGCCAGAGGAGAGGTGTAGAGGACATGGACGGCCAAAGGACGGATGTAGAGGACATGGACGGCCGAGAGTTGGATAGAGAGGACATCTCTAGAGGACCCAGGGAGAGCAGGCGCAGGAGAGTGGGGGTCGTGGATGACAGGAGTGGGTCAGGGGTCACTGATGACCCGTCGTCAGGTAGATTTTCTAGAGCACCAAATCTTGGTCTACACCGTCTAGTTGGGGCTGGGGTTGTAGAGCACCAAATCTTGGTCTACACCGTCTAGTTGGGGCTGGGGTTTTAGAGCACCAAATCTTGGTCTACACCGTCTAATAGGGGCTGGGGTTTTAGAGCACCAAATCTTGGTCTACACCGTCTAGTTGGGGCTGGGGTTTTAGAGCACCAAATCTTGGTCTACACCGTCTAGTTGGGGCTGGGGTTTTAGAGCACCAAATCTTGGTCTACACCGTCTAGTTGGGGCTGGGATTTTAGAGCACCAAATCTTGGTCTACACCGTCTAGTTGGGGCTGGGGTTTTAGAGCACCAAATCTTGGTCTACACCGTCTAGTTGGGGCTGGGGTTTTAGAGCACCAAATCTTGGTCTACACCGTCTAGTTGGGGCTGGGGTTTTAGAGCACCAAATCTTGGTCTACACCGTCTAGTTGGGGCTGGGGTTGTAGAGCACCAAATCTTGGTCTACACCGTCTAGTTGGGGCTGGGGTTGTAGAGCACCAAATCTTGGTCTACACCGTCTAGTTGGGGCTGGGGTTGTAGAGCACCAAATCTTGGTCTACACCGTCTAGTTGGGGCTGGGGTTGTAGAGCACCAAATCTTGGTCTACACCGTCTAGTTGGGGCTGGGGTTGTAGAGCACCAAATCTTGGTCTACACCGTCTAGTTGGGGCTGGGGTTGTAGAGCACCAAATCTTGGTCTACACCGTCTATTTGGGGCTGGGGTTGTAGAGCACCAAATCTTGGTCTACACCGTCTAGTTGGGGCTGGGGTTGTAGAGCTTATAAAATATTGCTGTCAATGAGGGGGGGGAGGAAAGTTTATTTCAATAACTGTAATAGGACCCAATACATGAAGGTCAGGGCCACACACAATATAGGTCAGGTGACACAGGGTCAAGGCCACTGGTTGAACTCACTAGTTGCGTGTGTGGAGATCACAGGTTGACCTCACACGTTTTATTTACTCCACCCACTTATTTCACGGCATTGACACTGACCTTCACGTGACCTTCATTTGACCTCTGTATCGTGTGTCTACGTCAGATCCTGGCGCATTTCGGGTCACTGTGAGAAGCAGAGGAGGGGAGGAAGTGGATGAGCTGAGAGACTGGATTCAAAGAAGGAGAAATGAGGAAGATGAAGATGAGGGGATAGAACTAGGTAAGATAACTCTTTATTATCCAGCGACGTTGAAAAAATTTAACGGTTAGCTCCCATCGACACTGGATGGTAATTTATTTATTTTTATTTATTTAAGATAACTCTTGTTTGTCCTGCGTCGTTGAAAATATTTAATTGTTAGCTCCCTTTGACAGTTCTTTGTAAAAATAACTCTTGCTTGTCTTGTCTCGATGAAAATATTTAACGGTTAGCTCCCCTTGACCGTGGGTGGTAATTTTTGCTATGTTTAAGATAACTCTTGCTTATCCTTATCTCGTTGAAAATATTCAATGATTAGCTCCCTTAGACCGTTGGATTTTTTTTTTGTCTTAGCTAGGTTTTCTAACTCTTGGTTGTCCTGTCTCGTTGAAAAATTTAATGATTAGCTCCCTTTGACCGTACATGGGATTTTCTAGCAATGTATATTTTTTGCGTCTTGATGTTTGAGAACATGGTAATTAAACGTTTGTAGAATTTTTTTGTTTACGTTTCTGTTTACATTTTTGTTGGCCAGAAGAACGCCGACAGCGGTCACGTGTTTCTGTATCAAAATGGAGTCCGGCGAAAAAAGGAAACAGCAGGCAGGTCAAAGTTGTTGCCAGTGTTTCTTCCAGACTTTTTTCTCCGGGGGGGGGGGGGGGCGGTAGACTTTCTTCGGGGGGGGGGGGGGGGCGGACACTGTTAAAAGTATAAATTTTCTATATAAATTATATAAATTTCATTTCGTTCGGGGGGGGCGGTAGAAGAGGTGCCTGGAAGAAACTCTGGTTGTTGCATAATATAAAGATTTGAGATAAGGTTTCGAACCCAGCAATGTACATGACAGGTGAAGTAGAGTTCACCTGCTTCCGTGTCCTCAACATAAGTGGGAAAGCCCAGCCGCCTCTGTTTTCCCTACAGTGAGCCGGGTACGTTCTAGAGCTGGATGCGCTCACGTCTCACGTCACTAGAAGTACGTCTGAGGACATTAATTAGGTCAAAAGTATTTAATCACAAGACATTCACTTAATCCTTCACTTAATCCACACATCACCCAAACCCTACCACATGACATCACCACATGTCACCACCACATGACATCACCACATGTCACAAATAACATGTCATCTCAGCCCACCAGCCGCCCCCAAGAGATCGAGGTTCGAACAGAAACCGTCGGACGAGGAGACAGAAGAGCTAACCCGCCTCCTCAGAGAACGTGAGTCGTTCAACAGTCAACTTGTCTCGCATGTTGTGTGTATGTGTGTGTGTTTGTGTGTGAACTTATCACTTGTTGTGTATAGTCAACTTTTAGTCTACATTTTGTGTTTCATTTTAAACAAGAATATCTTAGAACATTTTTTTTTTCTCCAAAAAAAGGGAAATACCTAAGATGTTAATATACACAGAGCTACAAAATAGTTATCTCCCTTGTGTAATTGTACTGTGTTGTCTTTAGCTACTAAATTCGGTGGTGACGTTATATTCATTTTCTTGTCATACACTTGTCATACACTTGTCATACACTTGTCATACACTTGTCATACACTTGTCATACACTTGTCATACACTTGTCATACACCAGTCATACACTTGTCATACACCAGTCATACACTTGTCATACACTTATATATCCAGAACGTAGTAACGGTGTGTGTGCGTGTTTGTGTGTGTTTGTGTGTGTGTAAAAGTTAGGTAACAATTACGTCATCTTGCCCAGGTGCCAAAGAAAATGTGCCGTTTGGTAAAAAACGACGTGACGTCAGCTATCAAGGTCAGTCAGAGTTAGTGTGTTCATAAATCTTAATACGGGCTGTATCAGGTCTAAGTTCATCTTAATTTGGTCTAACTTAACTCTATGAAGCCATACCGCTAGCTAGTGTGCCACTTAACTCGATTAACCCATGCACTAGCTGGAGTGGCACTTAACTTGATTAAGCTATGCTACTAGCTGGTGGCACTAAAATTGTTACCTCCCCTGGCAGCGCCCAAGTTTTTCACGGTGCAGAAGACATCTCGTCACGTGACTGTGGCCAGAGACCCCTTCAGTGACAAGCGTGACCTTGACCTACCCAAAGGTCCGGCCTTCCAGCTCAAAAAGTCGGAGAGAAAAACAACCAAGTTCGTCGAGTTCAAGAAAGGAGAGAGGGGGTGGAAGGTTGGTCTATTATTTTAGAGGGGTGGAAGGTTGGTCTAGTCTTTATCGTTGTTCATATTATATTCTTCGAGCAGACACATTCAAGCAAGTCAGTGTAGCTGAAAGCCTAATTTAGTTTTGTTACTTGCTTGTTTTGTCCCCCAAAAAAATTTTCATGTGATCTTAAACAAAAATTTCCTCAGGCGCCGAAGAAGTTCGAGGTGAAACATGAAGAGAAGCAGCCGACCAAATTCTGGCAGGGTTCGAGTCCCAGCAGGGACAGACGCAGTAGGAGAAGGCGTGGCGAGGTCAGTTGGCCAGATAATCTCTGACCACAGATAAAAATCTGTTATAAGTTTCTACACTGCATGATGTATGCATCAAGTAAAATTAGATTCAAACAAAAAAATTGACGTTAAAAAAAAATAACTTTTTCATTGGTCCAATATAAATAAAAACAAATTGAAATGTTACTGGATAGAGATCAAAGCTTTAGAGGATTTTTTTTTAGTTTGTCTTATAAATATGCTAAATAAAATTGATTAGTGGGATTTAGTAAATGTTGATACTAATTATGTCTTTATGCTAATAACCTTAACATTTTTTTTACGTCTTAATGGCCTAAACAAATTTTTTATGTCTTCATGCTAATGACCTAAACATTATTTCATGTTTTTATGCTAATTTCTTTCAGGGCAGTGACGACGACTCGAGCGAGAGGTAGGTGCAGTAGAGTTTACCTTTAACTCTAAACGTGACGCGGACATACGGCTTTATACAACGTTGGGAGGGGAGGTGGTGCGGGGGATTATGAGGGAGGAGAGCGGCATTTGTTCTGACTCTTGACGCTGTCGACTCATGACTATGTCGACTCATGACTCTGCCGACTCTTGACTCTGCCGACTCTTGACTCTGTCGACTCATGACTCTGTCGACCCATGACTCTGTCGACTCATGACTCTGTCGACTCTTGACGCTGTCGACTCATGACTCTGTCGACTCTTGACTCTGTCGACTCATGACTCTGTCGACTCATGACTCTGTCGACTCTTGACTCTGTCGACTCTTGACTCTGTCGACCCATGACTCTGTCGACCCATGACTCTGTCGACTCATGACTCTGTCGACTCATGACTCTGTCGACTCATGACTCTGTCGACTCTTGACTCTGTGAGGTAAAGTTGACCAGCATCTATATTATCCGACTGCTCGACCCCCCCCCCTACACACACACTGACACACACACACTGACACACACACACTGACACACACACTGACACACACACACTGGCACACACACACACTGACACACACACACTGACACACACACACACACTGACACACACACACACTGACACACACATACAGACACACACACTCACCCCAACAAACACAGCCATATTGTTGTTGTTCTACCCCCACACACACGCCCACACACACACACTGACACACCCACACACACACTGACACATACACACACACTCACCCCTACAAACACAGCCATATTATTGATGTTCTACCCCCACACACACGCCCACACACACACTGATACAAACACACACTCACCGATACAAACACAGCCATATTGTTGTTGTTCTACCCCCACACACATGCCCACACACACACTGACACACACACACTGACACATACACACACTCATCCCTTCAATCACCGCCATGTTGTTGTTCTACCCCCAGACGCAGACGACAGAACAATTCTCTGGACTCAGGTATCGCCAGTGGCTCAGCAGGTAAATTGTAATTCACAATAACTCTACTTCACCCGCTTAACTTCCATGTGCTTGCCTATTTCTAACTCATAGTTCAAATCTTAATTCAACGCTTAATTACGGGTTCATTTCTTACTGTGTGTGTGTGTTTTACCTTTGACACCAGGTGAGACTGACGTCATCCCTGACGTCATTCCTCCTCAGCCAGAACACATTGGTGAGTTTTTGTTTCGCTATTTTTAGATTAGCCAGTCAGGTCCATGTTTTAGATTAGCCAGTCAGGTTCATGTTTTAGATTAGCCAGTCAGGTTCATGTTTTAAAAGCTCGATATTCAAGCTCCGCCCCCGTGTTTCAAACACCGCCCCCAATGTGTTATAGCTGTCACGTGATCGCGACCAGCTGTCGTCTAAGACTGTCACGCTAGTCTGTCCCCTTCATTCAATGGCGGCCGCTCAATTTCCGGTTCTAGATATGGTAATTGCTGGCGATGACGTCATAGACCAAGTATGACATGTTTTATTTATGAGAGTGGGAAGGAATTTTTTAAACCATCGTGAGTGGATTGTATAATTTAGCTTGCGTCATCATTAGTGTGGTCTGTGTGTGTGTGTGGGGGGGGGGGGGTATGGTGTGGGGTGATATGGTGTGTGGGGGTATGGTGTGTGGGGGTATGGGGGGGGCTATAATATGTGTGGTGGCTATATGTGTGGGGGCTATGGTTTGTGGGCTGTGGTGTGTGTGGGGGGGGGCTATGGTGTGGGGGCTGTGGTGTGTGTGGGGGGGCTGTGGTGTGTGTGGGGGCTATGGTGTGTGTGGGGGCTGTGGTGTTGGGGCTATGGTGTGTGTGGGGGGCTATGGTGTGTGTGGGGGCTGTGGTGTGTGTGGGGGCTGTGGTGTGTGGGGTGTGGTGTGGGGGGCTATGCTGTGTGGGATGTGGTGTGGGGGGCTATGGTGTGTGGGGGGGCTATGGTGTGTGTGGGGGGCTATGGTGTGTGTGGGGGGCTATGGTGTGTGTGGGGGGCTATGGTGTGTGTGGGGGGCTATGGTGTGTGTGGGGGGCTATGGTGTGTGTGGGGGCTATGGTGTGTGTGGGGGGCTATGGTGTGTGTGGGGGGTGTGGTGTGTGTGGGGGGTGTGGTGTGGGGGGCTATGCTGTGTGGGATGTGGTGGTGGGGGGCTGTGGTGTGTGTGGGGGGCTGTGGTGTGTGTGGGGGGCTGTGGTGTGTGTGGGGGGCTATGGTGTGTGTGGGGGGCTATGGTGTGTGTGGGGGGGCTATGGTGTGGGGGCTGTGGTGTGTGTGGGGGCTGTGGTGTGTGTGGGGGCTGTGGTGTGTGTGGGGGCTGTGGTGTGTGTGGGGGCTGTGGTGTGTGTGGGGGCTGTGGTGTGTGTGGGGGGCTATGGTGTGTGTGGGGGGCTGTGGTGTGTGTGGGGGGGGGCTGTGGTGTGGGGGCTATGGTGTGTGTGGGGGCTATGGTGTGTGTGGGGGCTATGGTGTGTGTGGGGGCTGTGGTGTGTGTGGGGGCTGTGGTGTGGGGGCTATGGTGTGTTGGGGCTATGGTGTGTGTGGGGGCTATGGTGTGTGTGGGGGCTGTGGTGTGGGGGCTATGGTGTGTTGGGGCTATGGTGTGTGTGGGGGCTATGGTGTGTGTGGGGGCTGTGGTGTGGGGGCTATGGTGTGTGTGGGGGCTGTGGTGTGTGTGGGGGCTGTGGTGTGGGGGCTGTGGTGTGTGTGGGGGCTGTGGTGTGGGGGCTATGGTGTGTGGGGGCTATGGTGTGTGTGGGGGCTGTGGTGTGGGGGCTGTGGTGTGGGGGCTATGGTGTGTGTGGGGGCTATGGTGTGTGTGGGGGCTGTGGTGTGGGGGCTATGGTGTGTGTGGGGGCTGTGGTGTGGGGGCTGTGGTGTGTGTGGGGGCTGTGGTGTGTGTGGGGGCTGTGGTGTGTGTGGGGGCTGTGGTGTGGGGGGCTGTGGTGTGTGTGGGGGCTGTGGTGTGTGGTGGGGCTATGTTGTGTGGGGGGGCTGTGGTGTGGGGGGCTGTGGTGTGTGTGGGGGCTGTGGTGTGTGGGCTGTGGTGTGTGTGGGGGCTGTGGTGTGTGGGGGGGCTATGTTGTGTGTGGGGGCTGTGGTGTGGGGGGCTGTGGTGTGTGGGGGGGCTGTGGTGTGTGGGGGGCTATGGTGTGTGGGGGGGGCTGTGGTGTGGGGGGGCTGTGGTGTGTGGGGGGGCTGTGGTGTGTGGGGGGCTGTGGTGTGTGGGGGGGCTGTGGTGTGGGGGGGGGGGCTATGGTGTGTGTGGGGGCTGTGGTGTGTGTGGGGGGGCTATGGTGTGTGTGGGGGCTATGGTGTGGGGGCTATGGTGTGTGTGGCGGCTATGGTGTGGGGGCTATGGTGTGTGTGGGGGCTATGGTGTGGGGGCTATGGTGTGTGGGGGGGGCTATGGTGTGGGGGCTATGGTGTGTGTGGGGGGGCTATGGTGTGTGTGGGGGCTGTGGTGTGGGGGCTATGGTGTGTGTGGGGGGCTATGGTGTGTGTGGGGGGCTATGGTGTGTGTGGGGGGCTATGGTGTGTGTGGGGGCTATGGTGTGTGTGGGGGGCTATGGTGTGTGTGGGGGCTATGGTGTGTGTGGGTGGCTATGGTGTGTGTGGGGGCTATGGTGTGTGTGGGGGCTGTGGTGTGGGGGCTATGGTGTGTGTGGGGGGCTATGGTGTGTCTGGGGGGCTATGGTGTGTGTGGGGGGCTATGATGTGTGTGGGGGGCTATGATGTGTGTGGGGGCTATGGTGTGGGGGCTGTGGTGTGTGGGCTGTGGTGTGGGGGCTGTGGTGTGGGGGCTGTGGTGTGTGTGGGGGGCTATGGTGTGTGTGGGGGCTATGGTGTGTGGGCTGTGGTGTGGGGGCTGTGGTGTGGGGGGGGGGCTATGGTGTGTGTGGGGGCTATGGTGTGTGGGCTATGGTGTGGGGGCTGTGGTGTGGGGGCTATGGTGTGTGGGATGTGGTGTGGGGGGCTGTGGTGTGTGTGGGGGCTATGGTGTGTGGGGGCTGTGGTGTGGGGGCTGTGGTGTGGGGGCTATGGTGTGTGTGGGGGCTATGGTGTGTGGGCTATGGTGTGGGGGCTGTGGTGTGGGGGCTATGCTGTGTGGGATGTGGTGTGGGGGGCTATGGTGTGTGTGGGGGCTATGGTGTGTGGGGGGGCTATGGTGTGTGTGGGGGCTGTGGTGTGGGGGCTATGGTGTGTGTGGGGGCTATGGTGTGTGTGGGGGCTATGGTGTGTGGGATGTGGTGTGGGGGCTATGCTGTGTGGGATGTGGTGTGGGGGGCTATGGTGTTTGGGGGGGGCTATGGTGTGTGGGGGGCTATGGTGTGTGTGGGGGGCTGTGGTGTGTGTGTGGGGGGGGGCTATGGTGTGGGGGCTATAATGTGTGGGGTATGGTGTAGTAACCGTTACCCTCAACCTTCATTACACCGTTACATGTGTCACCTAGCCTAGGCCTAGACGGTTGACTTCATTACACCGTTACATGTGTCGCCTAGCCTAGGCCTAGACGGTTGACTTCATTACACCGTTACATGTGTCGCCTAGCCTAGGCCTAGACGGTTGACTTCATTACACCGTTACATGTGTCGCCTAGCCTAGGCCTAGACGGTTGACTTCATTACACCGTTACATGTGTCGCCTAGCCTAGGCCTAGACGGTTGACTTCATTACACCGTTACATGTGTCGCCTAGCCTAGGCCTAGACGGTTGACTTCATTACACCGTTACATGTGTCGCCTAGCCTAGGCCTAGACGGTTGACTTCATTACACCGTTACATGTGTCACCTAGCCTAGGCCTAGACGGTTGACTTCATTACACCGTTACATGTGTCGCCTAGCCTAGGCCTAGACGGTTGACTTCATTACACCGTTACATGTGTCACCTAGCCTAGACCTAGACGGTTGACTTCATTACACCGTTACATGTGTCACCTAGCCTAGGCCTAGACGGTTGACTTCATTACACCGTTACATGTGTCACCTAGCCTAGACCTAGACGGTTGACTTCATTACACCGTTACATGTGTCACCTAGACGGTTGATTTAACTACATGCTCTGATATTTCTCTTAAAATTAAACTTTAAGACTGTGTTGATCGAATCTACCAGAATGTCGCTAGAAGGGTGGGCGGAGGGGTGGGTGAATCGAGCTGCACCTCTGACAACCCCCCCCCCACCGCGTAGTCTGTTGTCCCTGTGGGTCTAACAACTGGACCACATTAACTCCTATTCCTCAGTAAAGTGTATGTTTGTCTGTCTGTCTGTCTTTCTGTATGTTTATATGTGTCGTTGTGTCACTGAGTCATCCCTGTGCGCCAACAATAATCTGAGTGAAGGATACAGGCTACCTAGGTCTATCGCTACTCGCTACTCACCTCGATAGGTAGCTGGATGACATGTCAATAAGATGGTAGTTCAATGGGTAGGTAGCCCCACTCGATTGACCGGTAGCCCACATGCCCTGTAGCATGGTTGACCGGTAGCCCACATGCCCAGTTGCTCGCCATTGTCCGGTAGTTCAAGTGCCCACATTCGTGATTGCAATTTGTGTCGTGTTCACTGAAGCGTGACTGCTGGAGGTAACTATAGGTTTAGCCGTACCCTTGAAATCCTACCCACACTTAGCCTATTGTTCTCACCTGTAATAATAACATGGCGCCGGCTGTGTTCGATACGTTAATTGATTGATTGATTGATTGATTGATTGATTGATTGATTGATTCTCGCTGTGGGGGAGGATCGATTTATTTTGATTTCGTCATACTTATGGGACCACGCGATTGGGAAGGGGGGGGGGGGGGGGTACTGTCTACACTTAGGTAACGCCCTTGTGACGTCACACTATATGACGACGATGATGTAGAATTGTCTTCCTCCCTCTTCAACTGGTACCACCCCCTTCCTACCCCCCCCCCCCCACATCATGACAGTAATTTAGTTTTTGTGTTGACAGACACCACCCCCACCCACCCCCCTCACCAAGAACATCCTGACACCTAAGATTCCACTCCTAAAACCTCCCCCCTCAAGTCTTCTGGCACTTGTTTCATGACTCGCCAATTTCTTGAGTGGATCATCAGACAGCATTAATCGATGGGATAAATCAAGGGTGGGGTAACGGAGCAGGACAGGATTGGGTTGATGTTGTGGTGACGTCAGCATTTGTTGTTACGTTACGTGAGATATTTAAACAACCAGGTAATGGGTGGGGCGATGGAGGGGGGTAAGGCGTTTATTTTAACAAAAGTCAACTTCGTTCAAAGTATTTTTTCAGGACATCAATACGCCTTTAATTAGCCTAATTTCATTAGCCAATACATTGGGGTTAAACCATTCAGCAGATGACGTCTTTATTTAGCCTACTCTATTCATAACGGTTTTATATTTAACCGTCGTGACAAGCATTTTAACAAATCTGGCGTGGCGTGCTGCCAATCAAAGATGGCCGCCGGTTGTTGATTTGTGGAAGTTGACAACAAGATCAACACCAGTAGTTTCATTCATAAATCTCCGGTGTAGTGTCTATTTTTAGCATCAGCTTCTCCGCGAAGATCCGCAACTATTTTTTTTACTGCTGGCCCAACAATGGCGGTCTAGGCGAGCCCCAGAGGAGACAACTAGTTTCACATTCACGTCATCTCACGCGTGACGGTGTTAAATGTGACGTCGGTCACGCTTCGGGGGTCAGAGATCAATCACTGCAATCAATGGCGCCTTTTGTGTTCAGAAAATTAGTGCCAATAAAAAGTCGACGTTTGAAAATTGAGTGAAACAATCCTTGAATTGTCGGGCCTTGGTCGGCTCGTGTGGACGTCGTGACACGAGGCTGGATGTGTAATGGGTACTTACCATAGGTCCACTGTACACCTGTACACCTTTACACCTGCCCATCTCCGGGGAGGGGGGGGGGCACTTGAAATTTTCGGGGGGGGGGGGGGGGTGGTGGGGGGAGGGGGGGCGGACACCGTTAAAAGTATATATTTTTTATTATAAATTTCATTCGTTCCGGGGGGGGGGGGGGAGGCGGTAGACTTTCTTCGTGTGGGCTGAGCCCCCCCCCCCCCCCCCCCCCCCCGAAGAAATGCCTGGAAGAAACTCTGCACCTGGACCACCTGTACACCTGGTCCACCTGTACACATGGTCCACCTGTACACTGTACACCTTAATTACATGGTACTTAGAGTTCCTGTTCAGACTCTCTACCACGGCGTACGCCAACCCTGATCGATTTGTGTCTATGGGTTTTTTCGGTCTGCGGTGTGTTGCACGGTAAATAGATGGACCGAATCAAAGGATTTCCTACCGTTGTGTGCGGGTTAGTCGTGTGTGTGGGACAGTTGTGTGTGTATTTACCTGTGTGTGGAGGTACCTGACGGGACGACTATGGAGGTGCGAATGAGCGACTGGGAGACGCTGGATGCGACAAGGGTCAGGGCCATGAAGATCAAATCTCTGGCTCCAGATGGAAGCCGTGGCTTTAGTGAGGGTATGTTTTTGTACTGCTAGTACTGTGCTCCAGATGGGAGCTTTAGTGAGGGTATGTTTTTGTACTGCTAGTACTGTGCTTCAGATGGGAGCTTTAGTGAGGGTATGTTTTTGTACTGCTAGTACTGTGCTTCAGATGGGAGCTTTAGTGAGGGTATGTTTTTGTACTGCTAGTACTGTGCTTCAGATGGGAGCTTTAGTGAGGGTATGTTTTTGTACTGCTAGTACTGTGCTTCAGATGGGAGCTTTAGTGAGGGTATGTTTTTGTACTGCTAGTACTGTGCTTCAGATGGGAGCTTTAGTGAGGGTATGTTTTTGTACTGCTAGTACTGTGCTTCAGATGGGAGCTTTAGTGAGGGTATGTTTTTGTACTGCTAGTACTGTGCTTCAGATGGGAGCTTTAGTGAGGGTATGTTTTTGTACTGCTAGTACTGTGGCTTCAGATGGAGCTTTAGTGAGGGTATGTTTTTGTACTGCTAGTACTGTGCTTCAGATGGGAGCTTTAGTGAGGGTATGTTTTTGTACTGCTAGTACTGTGCTTCAGATGGGAGCTTTAGTGAGGGTATGTTTTTGTACTGCTAGTACTGTGCTTCAGATGGGAGCTTTAGTGAGGGTATGTTTTTGTACTGCTAGTACTGTGCTTCAGATGGGAGCTTTAGTGAGGTATGTTTTTTGTACTGCTAGTACTGTGCTTCAGATGGGAGCTTTAGTGAGGGTATGTTTTTGTACTGCTAGTACTGTGCTTCAGATGGGAGCTTTAGTGAGGGTATGTTTTTGTACTGCTAGTACTGTGCTTCAGATGGGAGCTTTAGTGAGGGTATGTTTTTGTACTGCTAGTACTGTGCTTCAGATGGGAGCTTTAGTGAGGGTATGTTTTTGTACTGCTAGTACTGTGCTTCAGATGGGAGCTTTAGTGAGGGTATGTTTTTGTACTGCTAGTACTGTGCTTCAGATGGGAGCTTTAGTGAGGGTATGTTTTTGTACTGCTAGTACTGTGCTTCAGATGGGAGCTTTAGTGAGGGTATGTTTTTGTACTGCTAGTACTGTGCTCCAGATGGTAGCAGTGGCTTTAGTGAGGGTATGTTTTTGTACTGCTAGTACTCTGCTCCAGATGGTAGCAGTGGCTTTAGTGAGAGGGTATGTTTTTGTACTGCTAGTACTGTGCTCCAGATGGTAGCAGTGGCTTTAGTGAGGGTATGTTTTTGTACTGCTAGTACTGTGCTCCAGATGGTAGCAGTGGCTTTAGTGAGGGTATGTTTTTGTACTGCTAGTACTCTGCTCCAGTTGTTTGTAGCGGGTTGGCTATCTCGTTACTATTTGTTTGCTTTTTTTCCTCTTTGACCGGTTTTTTTTTCCAGTAATGTCAATAGCTTCATAATTGTGTCGACAGTCCTGGAATAGTAAAATATTACTTAAGTCAGAGAATATATACTTTTTACCAGTGTCGGCCCCCCCCCCCCCCCCGCCCCCCGAAAATATCAAGTCGTCCCCCCCCCCCGTCCCCCCCCCCCCCCCGTCCCCCTGGAGAAAAAAGTCTGGAAGAAACACTGGTTTTATTACTTATTGATCTATTTAATGTCACGTGAATGGCGTGATCTATTTAATGTCACGTGAATGACGTGATCTATTTAATGTCACGTCTGACCACAGCCACCGAGGGACAGGACGACAAGAACCAAGATGGCGACACGAACAAGACAGGGGAAGTAATCCAGAGAGAGCCGGTCAAGGTCAAACGCCGAGAAGTGGTCAAGAAAACGAAAGTAGAGAGACCAGTCACTCCCCCACCAAAGGTTCGTCATTCTTACTCCACACTCCACCCCAAATAATGAATTCCCCCCCCCCCCCCCAAATACACACACACACCAGAATCTGCTACTCACCCCCCCCCCCCCCCCCCACACACCCCAGGTATATTGATAATAGAGTACTCACTCATCGAATTCACTGCCCACCCCCTAACCCCCACCCCCTCGAGCAATAATCTTATTCTTGTTTTCTAGAGCCCACCGAGACTTCCGTCCCCACCCCCAGTGAGGAAACGGACGCCGCCCGCCCCCTACACCAAGCCCCCCACCAAGCCCCCACCCCCCAGCAGGAGGAGCCGCCCCTGCCAGAGCTGGAACTACCCGAGGTTCCTGACCTGCCGGAGATCGAGGATAAGCAGGTCAGTAGGTCACGCTAACCTTGGTCAGTAGGTCACGCTAACCTTGGTCAGTAGGTCACGCTAAACTTGGTCAGTAGGTCACGCTAACCTTGGTCAGTAGGTCACGCTAAACTTGGTCACTAGGTCACGTTAGACAGTCAGTAGGCCACGCTAACCTTGGTCAGTAGGTCACGCTAACCTTGGTCAGTAGGTCACGCTAACCTTGGTCAGTAGGTCACGCTAACTTGGTCAGTAGGTCACGCTAACTTGGTCAGTAGGTCACGCTAAACTTGGTCAGTAGGTCACACTAACCTTGGTCAGTAGGTCACACTGGCCTTAGTCAGTAGGTCACACTGGCCTTAGTCATTAGGTCATACTAACCTTGGTCATGGGTTGACCAATCGTGTAATAAAGTTCCTGCCTTCTCCCCACAGCCTGAGAAAAGAAAACAGAAGATGAAATTCTCGGTGGAAGCCCCGCCCCAGGCCACGCCCACAGACGTGCCAGTCAAGAGAAGGGCGGCGCCCAAAGTCAGGCGCATGTGAGTACACATGTCTTAAACATTAGATTGCGTACACTTCTGTCCCATGTACACTTGCTGTCACTTCTGTCATTTCTTGCTACATTTACTGAGTGAGCTATTAAACCAAATGCTGACGTCACGATATCCCAGACCAGACGGTGCTGACGTCACATTTATTTCAGCCCCAAGCATTTATCTCGGCCGAGAAGGTCAAGGCCAGCCGAGGCCCCCGTGCTGCCCGATGACCTGATGGACATCCAGGGACCCTCTGGACTTTCTCAACAAGTATTGCATCATTAAGTGAGTGACCAGACATTTCTTCTAACTTTTTTTTTTATGCACTTGAAGAACCGAGTAACTGTTTCATTATTTCATGAGGGTGTGGGTTCATTATTTCATGAGGGTGTGGGTCATTTTCTTGTCTTTGTCTCGTAGCGCCCCCACCACCCCGCTCCCTCCCCCTCCCCGCTCCCTCCCCCTCCATAGAAAGCCATGAAAAAAACATGTTTTTACTTGCCATGGGCAAACAAACTCAGAATGTAATCACAACACCAGTGACCTTGTTACACATTATTGTGTGTTGTTGTGAGCTGTTCTTGACCATATGTCACGTGGCTTTACTTGACCAATGACAGACCAAGCCAGTAAACAAATTCTACTTTCCTCCAGTCCTGACCGACTTCCGTTTTACGAGATCGTGTTTGAGGCGACGGTTGCAGATCAGAAGCCTCGCTATCATAAACCGGAAGTGGAAGTTTCAGACCAGCCGGCAGTGGAGGATGAAGGTAACAAGGTGGAGGGGGAGGCTGTACCTGTGGAAACGAAAAAAGGTATGATATAAATCTACGCATTGTCTTTAACATCTTAAGGTGACATTGTTTTAAGCACATTTGTCATTTTGTTTTCCCAAAATTATACAATACAGGTAAAGCTAAGAAGAAAACTCCAACCGACCAGAAAACATTTAACCCTAACTTGTTGCCTGCCCAAAAAGGAATGAACATTGAAAAAGTGGTAAGTTATGGATGGTGGAGCAGGGTTTCTTTCAAACATTTTGCTTTGGGGTTGTTTTTTTTTGGGGGGGGGGGGGGATTTGAAACTTGCAGTATAATTTCTAGTTAATGTAATACACAATTTTTTAAATGTTTGATTTTGTATTGGGTGAGGTTATGGTGGACATCTCTGGGTAGGTCAGGGACCCCACCCCAATAGGAAGGCAGGTGGGGCTAGTGGGGTGGTGTCCGAGATCTGACCTTTTTATATTTAATGTATGGATCTCTCACTTTCACCCCCCCCCCCCCACACACACACACACCACCGCTGCCCCAGGCGATGACACTGGAAGAACAGCACCTGGAGAAGCTGATCTACACCCTGGACCTCCTACAGGACAAGATGAACCAGTTGACTGACCAGCTGGATGACCTTGAAGGTCAGTTTAACTTTTCTAATGTATAAAACTGTTTATCACTAGATTTCATCAAATCTTTTTTTTTTATCATAACCATTCAGGGCACCTGATGAATATTTTAACAGAGTTTTCTCCCTATATTTTCTCCAGCCAAAAGAATGAAGCTGCTAGCAGAAAAAGCTAGGGAGAGATTTCCTGACATTGCATCACCAAACTATTTTCCAAAGTTGAAGAAAAAAGGCAAAAAAGAAAAAGTAAGATCAAAATCTTTCACAGTTTACATTTAGCCAGATAATTTTGGCCTCAGTAAAATTTGAGTGTAGGTTCTCGTCCCTCCTAGATCAGACTGACATCTTTGACAGAAATAATTTATTTAATTACAGAAAGCCAATCAGACCCACATCTATGACAGAAATAATTTATTTAATTACAGAAGGGCAATCAGACTCACATCTATGACAGAAATAATTTATTTAATTACAGAAAGCCAATCAGACCCACATCTATGACAGAAATAATTTATTTAATTACAGAAGGGCAATCAGACTCACATCTATGACAGAAATAATTTATTTAATTACAGAAGGGCAATCAGACCCACATCTATGACAGAAATAATTTATTTAATTACAGAAAGCCAATCAGACGGAGCCAAAGCTGAGAGCTGAGGACATCACTGATGAGGTCATTCTATCAAGGCTTGAGGACAAGAAAATTAATGAGGTAAACTGCAGAGTTGTGGGCCTTTGTGTCTATTGGCACTTTGTGGGCCTTTGTGGCTATTGGTATATAGTGGGTTTTTGTGGCTATTGGCACATTGTGGGTTTTTGTGGCTATTGGCACATTGTGGGTTTTTGTGGCTATTGGCACATTGTGGGTTTTTGTGGCTATTGGCACATTGTGGGTTTTTGTGGCTATTGGCACATTGTGGGTTTTTGGGGCTATTGGCACATTGTGGGTTTTTGTGGCTATTGGCACATTGTGGGTTTTTGTGGCTATTGGCACATTGTGGGTTTTTGTGGCTATTGGCACATTGTGGGTTTTTGTGGCTATTGGCACATTGTGGGTTTTTGTGGCTCTTGGCACATTGTGGGTTTTTGTGGCTATTGGCACATTGTGGGTTTTTGTGGCTATTGGCACATTGTGGGTTTTTGTGGCTATTGGCACATTGTGGGTTTTTGTGGCTATTGGCACATTGTGGGTGTTTGTGGCTATTGGCACATTGTGGGTTTTTGTGGCTATTGGCACATTGTGGGTTTTTGTGGCTATTGGCACATTGTGGGCCTTTGTGGCTATTGGCACATTGTGGGCCTTTGTGGCTATTGGCACATTGTGGGCCTTTGTGGCTATTGGCACATTGTGGGCCTTTGTGGCTATTGGCACATTGTGGGCCTTTGTGGCTATTGGCACATTGTGGGCCTTTGTGGCTATTGGCACATTGTGGGTTTTTGGGGCTATTGGCACGTTGGGAGACTGACAGAGTGGTGGATAACATTACCATCAGTCAACATTCAACATCTAGGAGTGACTTAGACCTCTTGACTGATCACTTGCATGACAACTCCAACAATTTGGTTTTAAAATAAGGTTGTGATTTATTTATTTTTTTCACAGATGTGTCAAGAACCAGAGCTCAAACTGTTGGAATCTGAAATAGATATACTCAAGGTCAAGGTCAAAGAAATACAAAACCGGGTTGAACAGATAGCAGGTAGGTTACTCACCTCTGAAAACTTTCAAACTTCAGGTAATTATAGTTTAGTAGTATAGTCATTTTTGGTGAGTAAATAATTTTTACAAAACGACAATAGTTGTTTTTTATTAACCAAACTAATGGCAGTCCATAGACTGTAATTATTAACCAACTGTTAATTTACTAAGGCTGTTTGTTAGCACCTTGATTGTGTCCTCCCCACCTTGTGTCCTCCCCACCTTGTGTCCTCCCCACCTTGTGTCCTCCCCACCTTGATTGTGTCCTCCCCACCTTGATTGTGTCCTCCCCACCTTGATTGTGTCCTCCCCACCTTGATTGTGTCCTCCCCACCTTGATTGTGTCCTCCCCACCTTGATTGTGTCCTCCCCACCTTGTGTCCTCCCCACCTTGTGTCCTCCCCACCTTGTGTCCTCCCCACCTTGATTGTGTCCTCCCCACCTTGTGTCCTCCCCACCTTGTGTCCTCCCCACCTTGATTGTGTCCTCCCCACCTTGTGTCCTCCCCACCTTGTGTCCTCCCCACCTTGTGTCCTCCCCACCTTGATTGTGTCCTCCCCACCTTGTGTCCTCCCCACCTTGTGTCCTCCCCACCTTGTGTCCTCCCCACCTTGTGTCCTCCCCACCTTGTGTCCTCCCCACCTTGATTGTGTCCTCCCCACCTTGATTGTGTCCTCTCCACCTTGTGTCCTCCCCACCTTGTGTCCTCCCCACCTTGTGTCCTCCCCACCTTGTGTCCTCCCCACCTTGATTGTGTCCTCCCCACCTTGTGTCCTCCCCACCTTGATTGTGTCCTCCCCACCTTGTGTCCTCCCCACCTTGATTGTGTCCTCCCCACCTTGTGTCCTCCCCACCTTGATTGTGTCCTCCCCACCTTGATTGTGTCCTCCCCACCTTGTGTCCTCCCCACCTTGATTGTGTCCTCCCCACCTTGATTGTGTCCTCCCCACCTTGATTGTGTCCTCCCCACCTTGATTGTGTCCTCCCCCACCTTGTGTCCTCCCCACCTTAATTGTGTCCTCCCCACCTTGTGTCCTCCCCACCTTGTGTCCTCCCCACCTTGTGTCCTCCCCACCTTGTGTCCTCCCCACCTTGATTGTGTCCTCCCCACCTTGATTGTGTCCTCCCCACCTTGTGTCCTCCCCACCTTGATTGTGTCCTCCCCCACCTTGATTGTGTCCTCCCCACCTTGATTGTGTCCTCCCCACCTTGATTGTGTCCTCCCCACCTTGATTGTGTCCTCTCCACCTTGATTGTGTCCTCCCCACCTTGTGTCCTCCCCACCTTGATTGTGTCCTCCCCACCTTGTGTCCTCCCCACCTTGTGTCCTCCCCACCTTGATTGTGTCCTCCCCACCTTGATTGTGTCCTCCCCACCTTGATTGTGTCCTCCCCACCTTGATTGTGTCCTCCCCACCTTGATTGTGTCCTCCCCACCTTGATTGTGTCCTCCCCACCTTGATTGTGTCCTCTCCACCTTGTGTCCTCCCCACCTTGATTGTGTCCTCCCCACCTTGATTGTGTCCTCCCCACCTTGATTGTGTCCTCTCCACCTTGATTGTGTCCTCCCCACCTTGATTGTGTCCTCCCCACCTTGATTGTGTCCTCCCCACCTTGTGTCCTCCCCACCTTGATTGTGTCCTCCCCACCTTGATTGTGTCCTCCCCACCTTGATTGTGTCCTCCCCACCTTGATTGTGTCCTCCCCACCTTGTGTCCTCCCCACCTTGATTGTGTCCTCCCCACCTTGATTGTGTCCTCCCCACCTTGTGTCCTCCCCACCTTGATTGTGTCCTCCCCACCTTGATTGTGTCCTCCCCACCTTGATTGTGTCCTCCCCACCTTGATTGTGTCCTCCCCACCCTGATTGTGTCCTCCCCACCTTGTGTCCTCCCCACCTTGTGTCCTCCCCACCTTGATTGTGTCCTCCCCACCTTGATTGTGTCCTCCCCACCTTGATTGTGTCCTCCCCACCTTGATTGTGTCCTCCCCACCTTGATTGTGTCCTCCCCACCTTGATTGTGTCCTCCCCACCTTGTGTCCTCCCCCACCTTGTGTCCTCCCCACCTTGTGTCCTCCCCACCTTGATTGTGTCCTCCCCACCTTGATTGTGTCCTCCCCACCTTGTGTCCTCCCCACCTTGATTGTGTCCTCCCCACCTTGATTGTGTCCTCCCCACCTTGATTGTGTCCTCCCCACCTTGATTGTGTCCTCCCCACCTTGATTGTGTCCTCCCCACCTTGATTGTGTCCTCCCCACCTTGATTGTGTCCTCCCCACCTTGATTGTGTCCTCCCCACCTTGATTGTGTCCTCCCCACCTTGATTGTGTCCTCCCCACCTTGATTGTGTCCTCCCCACCTTGATTGTGTCCTCCCCACCTTGATTGTGTCCTCTCCACCTTGTGTCCTCCCCACCTTGATTGTGTCCTCCCCACCTTGATTGTGTCCTCCCCACCTTGATTGTGTCCTCCCCACCTTGATTGTGTCCTCTCCACCTTGTGTCCTCCCCACCTTGATTGTGTCCTCCCCACCTTGATTGTGTCCTCCCCACCTTGATTGTGTCCTCCCCACCTTGATTGTGTCCTCCCCACCTTGATGTGTCATCTCCACCTTGTGTCCTCCCCACCTTGTGTCCTCCCCACCTTGATTGTGTCCTCCCCACCTTGATTGTGTCCTCCCCACCTTGATTGTGTCCTCCCCACCTTGATTGTGTCCTCCCCACCTTGATTGTGTCCTCCCCACCTTGATTGTGTCCTCCCCACCTTGTGTCCTCCCCACCTTGATTGTGTCCTCCCCACCTTGATTGTGTCCTCCCCACCTTGATTGTGTCCTCCCCACCTTGATTGTGTCCTCCCCACCTTGATTGTGTCCTCCCCACCTTGATTGTGTCCTCCCCACCTTGATTGTGTCCTCCCCACCTTGATTGTGTCCTCCCCACCTTGATTGTGTCCTCCCCACCTTGATTGTGTCCTCCCCACCTTGTGTCCTCCCCACCTTGTGTCCTCCCCACCTTGTGTCCTCCCCACCTTGTGTCCTCCCCACCTTGATTGTGTCCTCCCCACCTTGATTGTGTCCTCCCCACCTTGTGTCCTCCCCACCTTGATTGTGTCCTCCCCACCTTGATTGTGTCCTCCCCACCTTGAGTGTGTCCTCCCCACCTTGATTGTGTCCTCCCCACCTTGATTGTGTCCTCCCCACCTTGATTGTGTCCTCCCCACCTTGATTGTGTCCTCCCCACCTTGATTGTGTCCTCCCCACCTTGATTGTGTCCTCCCCACCTTGATTGTGTCCTCCCCACCTTGATTGTGTCCTCCCCACCTTGTGTCCTCCCCACCTTGATTGTGTCCTCCCCACCTTGTGTCCTCCCCACCTTGTGTCCTCCCCACCTTGTGTCCTCCCCACCTTGTGTCCTCCCCACCATGATTGTGTCCTCCCCACCTTGATTGTGTCCTCCCCACCTTGATTGTGTCCTCCCCACCTTGATTGTGTCCTCCCCACCTTGATTGTGTCCTCCCCACCTTGATTGTGTCCTCCCCACCTTGATTGTGTCCTCCCCACCTTGATTGTGTCCTCCCCACCTTGTGTCCTCCCCACCTTGATTGTGTCCTCCCCACCTTGATTGTGTTCTCCCCACCTTGTGTCCTCCCCACCTTGTGTCCTCCCCACCTTGTGTCCTCCCCACCTTGTGTCCTCCCCACCTTGATAGTGTCCTCCCCACCTTGATTGTGTCCTCCCCACCTTGTGTCCTCCCCACCTTGTGTCCTCCCCACCTTGTGTCCTCCCCACCTTGATTGTGTCCTCCCCACCTTGATTGTGTCCTCCCCACCTTGATTGTGTCCTCCCCACCTTGTGTCCTCCCCACCTTGATTGTGTCCTCCCCACCTTGATTGTGTCCTCCCCACCTTGATTGTGTCCTCCCCACCTTGATTGTGTCCTCCCCACCTTGATTGTGTCCTCCCCACCTTGATTGTGTCCTCCCCACCTTGATTGTGTCCTCCCCACCTTGATTGTGTCCTCCCCACCTTGATTGTGTCCTCCCCACCTTGATTGTGTCCTCCCCACCTTGATTGTGTCCTCCCCACCTTGATTGTGTCCTCTCCACCTTGATTGTGTCCTCCCCACCTTGATTGTGTCGTCCCCACCTTGATTGTGTCGTCCCCACCTTGATTGTGTCCTCCCCACCTTGATTGTGTCCTCCCCACCTTGATTGTGTCCTCCCCACCTTGATTGTGTCCTCCCCACCTTGATTGTGTCCTCCCCACCTTGATTGTGTCCTCCCCACCTTGATTGTGTCCTCCCCACCTTGATTGTGTCCTCCCCACCTTGATTGTGTCCTCCCCACCTTGATTGTGTCCTCCCCATCTTGATTGTGTCCTCCCCACCTTGATTGTGTCCTCCCCACCTTGATTGTGTCCTCCCCACCTTGATTGTGTCCTCCCCACCTTGATTGTGTCCTCCCCACCTTGTGTCCTCCCCACCTTGTGTCCTCCCCACCTTGTGTCCTCCCCACCTTGATTGTGTCCTCCCCACCTTGATTGTGTCCTCCCCACCTTGATTGTGTCCTCCCCACCTTGATTGTGTCCTCCCCACCTTGTGTCCTCCCCACCTTGATTGTGTCCTCCCCACCTTGATTGTGTCCTCTCCACCTTGTGTCCTCCCCACCTTGATTGTGTCCTCCCCACCTTGATTGTGTCCTCCCCACCCTGATTGTGTCCTCCCCACCTTGATTGTGTCCTCCCCACCTTGTGTCCTCCCCACCTTGTGTCCTCCCCACCTTGTGTCCTCCCCACCTTGATTGTGTCCTCCCCACCTTGTGTCCTCCCCACCTTGTGTCCTCCCCACCTTGTGTCCTCCCCACCTTGATTGTGTCCTCCCCACCTTGATTGTGTCCTCCCCACCTTGTGTCCTCCCCACCTTGTGTCCTCCCCACCTTGATTGTGTCCTCCCCACCTTGATTGTGTCCTCCCCACCTTGATTGTGTCCTCCCCACCTTGATTGTGTCC